CAGTTTTCCATAATGGTTATACTAGTTTGCATTCCCACCAGCAGTGTAGGAGAGTACCTTTTTCTCTACATCCTCGCCAGCATTTGTTGTTGCTAGTTGTCTTAAGATGTGCCATTCTCACAGGTGTCAGGTGGTATCTCATTGTGGTTTTAATTTGCATCTCCCTTCTTACAAGTGATGTTGAACATTTTTTCATATACTTGTTGGCCATCTGCATTTCCTCTTTGGAGAAGTGTCCTTTTAGCTCTTCTGCCCATTTTCTGATGGGGTTGTTTATTTTTGTTGAGTTTCATCAACTCTTTGTATATCTTTGTGATCAGCTCTTTATCGCTAGTTTTGTGTGAGAAATCTTTTTTCCCAATCAGTAGGATGTCTGTTTTTTGTAATGTCTCTTTTGCTGTACAGAAGCTCTTTAACTTGATGTAGTCCCATCTATTTATTGAAAGGCCCTGTATTTTAAAGGTAATCATTACTCAATTTTAGTTAGCACTGTTCTCATTCTCATATGACTTTTGATATGTTAGGGTAACTTAAAATGAGAAGTGGCTCTTTTCCATTTCTTTGTAATATGTGGTGAGGACAAATGGAAGGAAAGAACTTAAATTTTTTGGCTATCTACAGTGTACTTTGGAATCAAAACTCTGATAATGAACTCAGCAAGAGAATGGTATCCAATTTTAAAATTTTTATTAATTCCCTAGGCACTGGTCATGGTTTTACTACCTGGAATTAACTTTTGGAAAGAAAATTTTTGCTCATTTACTCTCAATTTCATGTGATCAACTGTGTAATATTTCCCATAGGTAATACTTGTTTTTAACTTCTAACAAAAGATCTAGTGTTTGTTAAAACATAACAATATTTTCCAGAATATTCTTTGTTCTATCACAAATGAGCAGGCCAGGTTGGTGGCCAGGAGCCCCCGAGAATTTGCTTGGGCTCCAGGATCACCATAAACATGACCTAACTCTAAGGATTCTCAAGGATGGTGGAACAGGTCTGAGGCTGTTCGTCTGAATGTTGGATGTTGCAGCCTCAATGATATGAAGCAAGACTAAGGTAGGGTACCCTGGGACCGCAAACTGTTAAGGGGAAAAATCCATATTGCCTGTTATAAGGGATGGTATCTACCCATGTGCATAAAAGCAGACTCTTAAGCCCTCTCTGGTGGCAGGATGGGTTGAAGCCCTGCACTGCGGAGCTCTCCGCAGTCACTGCAGTGTTGAGCTAGGTTTCAAGTTCCCCAAAAACCACCAAGGAGCCAATTCTGATGCAAAGCACACGAGGGTCTTTATTGAAAGCTTGAACCTGGGCTCCCAACATGCAGCCCAAGTTGAGAGCCCTGAGCTCAGGGAAGGCAGGGTTTTTATTACAGAAGAGGGAGTTTCAGCCCAGCAGAGGGGAGTTTTTGCTCAGCAGTACATTGATTGGTGGACATTGAACAAAGTTATCTTGTCTTAACCTGGTTGACCTATGCATGTAAGATGTGACCTTCACCTCTGGGGGGGGGGTGCGTACCTTAGGACATCTGGCATTTTTTCTGATATGTACTGGTTACTTGCCTACGTGCTAATTGGCTGTTGCTATGGGATGAGCAAGATTAGAACATTACAGTTAAACTTGGCCTTGGTGCCTTGTGGATAACCAAAACTCAGGCCTGGCTGGTTCAGAAGCATTCTGAAGCCTGTCATGGCATCAGTTTGGTCTTCCAGCAGCACAAGTTCCATCCCTGGCCAGGGAGGTGACCCCCATGGTGTGGCAGACCTCTCCTGTCTTGCTTTCTTGTCTTGCTTTTCCCCTCAGCAGTGTATTTCAGTGGTTCTGCCTGTTCTGCTCCCTACTCTGTCTCTGATGAAGCCTTTCACCCCACATGTCTGGGGTCTGTACCCCAATTCTTATATGCATAAATAAATAAATCTTTTTTTTTTTTTAAAGCAAACTCCTGTGTGCTCAAAGATTTTTAATTGGAGAGAGGTTCAAAGGGAAAAGAGAGGAGGAGTAGGGGAAAGAAGGATTTTAAAATAAGGAGTACCTGGGGACCCCTCGATTTGCACACACTAAATGGATTTGCCATCTACCACATAAAGATAAAGGATACTCTTAATGTGAAAGGAGCTTACTAGAATAGTGTGTTCAGAGATCAGAGAAAGGATATAATTTTCCAGTGAAACATCCAAAACTACTCATCCCCTCCTGGTTAAACATCCAGCCAAACAGGATTGACCTTGATTCAGGGCTACTATGTCCTAAAAAGCTGCCACAACTCTAAGGCACTTTGTGGTGGGGAACCACAGAAAGGGGGAAGAAGGAACCAAGCAAGCCTGGAAGAAGCAAAATCAAAGAACAAATCAAGTAACAGCTGCCATTGTCAGCCTCCGTGGTCTCTTACCCACATTTCGTCTAGTGTCTCTGTCTCAACTGCTATGTCTCCCAAGTCCCTGGATCAAGCCCAAAGCTGAGACACAAACGGGACTTTTTCACGTGTCTCTCTGCTCCTTTCAGCATGCATACGCTTCCTCCAAATCCCTCTCCAAGACATTGTCAGCTTCCTTTTCCATGCTCAGCCCCACCCTTCATTAAGTGGGGCAGAGAACCTAGAATTTCCCCCTTTTATAGTGATGACACATGATACCTGACACTGTTAGACAATAGGAAAACAAATCCAAGGCAACTTCCATCAGGAAACAAGCAACATTATGCAGGGCGCAAAGGGCTGGGAGAGAGAACTAAAGTTCAAAATGTACCATATCCTGCTGAATCCACTACAGGGTCTGGTTGGCAGCTGACATAATCTCTCAAGAGTGCAGAATCATGCTGCCTGCCAAAGTTCTAAAGCCAGGAAAGAGAGCCTGGGAATCCATCTTTTCGGCATTTTAAGTCCAGTCACTTGTACATGTACATATTTCCTTACACATGTGATAGTTTTGGGGTTCAGACAATGGGGTTCTTTGCATGGGTTTCCGAGGAAGAATTCTACAGACATCCAGCTCATCAGATGGCAAATTTATTTTTAAAGATTTATTTTTATTTATTTATGAATACAAAAACTGGCGTATATGTAGGCCAGAGGTTGGGAGGCAGGGCAGGGGTGGGGGGCAGGAGGTGAGAGGATTCACCAGAGACAGAGTGTGGAGCAGAACAGGCAGCTCTTTTGAAATACACTGCTGAAGGGGGCAGTAGGTGAGACAGGAGAGTCTGCTGTGCTGTGTGGGTTGGCTGGTGAGAGCTTGATAGGGCTGCCTTTAACTCCTATGCCACCAGGGAGATCCCATGCAAATTTATTAAGGAAGAAAAAAACAAAAGGAAAGAGATTTGCATAGACACAGATGGAAAAGAAGGCAACCTATCTGACCTGCCAAAGCAAGGGAGACTTCTATATGATCTCTGATAAAAACACTGTGGAATTTATCACCTTGGGGACAAGTTGGGTTGAGTGTCTGATAATCCTCTCTGCTCCCACCTCTGGCTGATGATCTCTTCAGACACCACCTCAGGTTCCTGGAGACTTACACAGCCAGTGCAGTTTGTTTCCTTAATTTCTGCTCCCACCTCTGGGGCTCTTCTATGTGAGCAGTTCCATCCTAAATTTTTCCACTCTGAGCTTCCATCAATATTACCTCCCAGCATATAGCTGGGGTGAGGAACTGCGAGGCCAATGGCCTGGCCTTTAACATCATCAGAGGCTGGCAAAGCTCCCTCAAAGTGGTAGCAGCACGTGGTGCCTTTTCTGTGGCTCTTACAGAAGAGTAAAGGTCTTGGGGCGGGTTCTGCCTGTCATCGTTACCATGGCATTGTCCGAACGGTGGACAGAAGACACAAACATTCATTGGTATGATTGGCTAGATGCAACAGTTTAGAAGAATATGGCTCAGTGGGGAGCAAGTTCCCCCGTCTCTTTTCTGGAAGTTTCTCTCCCAGTACAAAAAAGCACGTGCAGCGGGAGAGAACTTTGGCTCGTCACTCAGCTTCCCCAAGCGCAGGTCAGCGTGGCCCGGCCCCTCGGACCCTCCCGCGCGGGCCGACACCGCCCTGGGCTCCCGCAGCAGCTCCCCCGCCCCGCGCGGGTGACTCAGGCGGCGCCAGTGACGGCATCCGACAGGGAGGCGATGACGGGCGCGCGGCCGAGAGCCGCGGAGAAGCGCAGGATCCGGG